GAGAGAAATCGGGCGGACGGTGGGTGTCCGGGCGAGTGAAGAGAAGCGACTGAGCTGAGGCGTATGCAACTGGACAATCACCTTCAGTGAAGTAATAGAATTATCTGGGCTCAAATACTTTAACTGTAACCGTTCTGGTTTCAGGTCAAGGACGGTAAAACCACAACAGTCACCTCAGAAAGATGTCTAAACGTGCCAAAAAAGTTTTGTAGAAGTTTGAGGAGAATGTGCTATGCCCGGTTCCAGTGGGTTGGTGCCTCAACCCTAACTTCAAGAGAGGCCCTGGTATGGTTGCAAGAAAGGTTTTGGGAATTCCCTATCAACCGGAAATTTAGTAATGAATAGTTACCACCCCCCCACCCCCAACTTTAGCACCGTCGTTATTACCTTTGGGGTTTTTTTTTCAACAGACAGAGTGTAGGGAAATAACCCACAAACAACCGAACAGTTAAAAATCAGTGTTGAACAGGACCTAAAAAAATCGATCCAGAAACATGTTACGTGTTTATTCAAATGTTTCAGTGGCGTAATGGAGCTAGTTTGGAAAGAAATGGTTTATACCTGGATATTTAAATAACGAATATCTTCATTGAGTTTAATAAGAAACATCATTTTTGTATTAATTTATTCTTCAAGGCACAAAAGGTGACGATTTGATATAGAACAATAGGGTTGGTTTTTAAGATGTTGCAAAGTTTTGTGTTTCAGGCAAGTTTGGTTGAACTGTTTCGAGTTTGATGTTTTTCGAATAAACAAATTGATTTTTATCATAATGATAAATGTAAGGTCCTCATACGTGAATTTTATTTCGGCAAGGTTTTATTAAATTTGGTTCCTAGATAACTGAGTCATTGCCGTTTAAGTGGGCCTCTCTCTTTTGTAGACACCCAGTATATAGGTCCATGAAAAGTAACTCTTTGGTCAAACATACCAACACTGTTGTGGCAGTTGATGTGGTAACAAGTTCTCTTTTAGTTTTAGTAAGCGTTTTACAGCGCTCGCAACACAAGAAGGTCATATAAGTGTTAAGGATTAGAGGTGTTACAAGAGAATAACAAACACACACAAAAAAGGAGGGGAGATCAGGATCATGATAGACGTCTGATAAGAAAGATGGAGCAAACCACACCAGAGCCCCCGCCAACCACCTACGCAGGTTCTCTTTTCCACATGTCCGTTACTCTCTACAAGCTGCCATCCTAGCAGTTATTAGTACAAGGTCCCAGCAGCACTCTGTGGCAGGTGCTTTTTCTGTAGTCCATAACGGTGGGACCAATTTCATTGCGAAGGGAGAAAACTGGACAGATAGACATGGTCTCATTGCAAATTCCCATGATTGTCAGAAGTTCTAGTTGAAGAGACGCCAGATGATTTTTTACCGAGACGAAGAGATCCTCCTGGAACCGAAGAAGAGAGGGAAACAGAGAAAGAGATTTTTAAAAATGCTATTGATCTGGAATTCATTCTGATCTCCAAATTCTTGCTTTACAATAAGGGAGTGAACACACAGAGAGCGAAACGATTCGAAGTATCTCTAGTGCAATAAAATATACGAAACAAGACAAAGAGATTCTCCTTCAAACGAAGAGCAAAAAAAAAAAAGAAAAAAAAGGCATGTCAATATTTGTCTCCTCAAAAAAAATTATTTAAAAATTGATGAAATGGTATAGGTTTAGCGCCTATATAAGCAATATTATGTTATTTAAGAGGGGGGGGGGGGGGTCGCTACACCCCCAAAGTACCTATTCGGCTCAAAATTATGGAATTTGAGTTGTAGGCATTTTTAACTTCCTCAGCCTCTCCTACAACTATTTCATAGCATGAGAACCCCCCAAAACCTCATTCCTTTCCATACTGGGCATGTTTGTCACCACCATGTCCTCATAAAGTCAATATCTCATTTTCTATATAGGCCGTTTTCTCAAAATGCGACTTTTCTCTATACTTTTTAAAAATAACTCCACCATTTTTCATCCAATTTTCATGACATTTTCACCGAATGAAGAAAAGATGTAATACTACATATTTGTTTGTTGAATTTTTGATATTTTGAATAGATTTTTGTAGGTGGTATCTTGAGTGTGGATTTTCACGGATTTTTTGCAAACTTGAATACTACCTCACGAAAAAATTCATTAAAAATGTTCTAATTTGTTTAGGAAAAAAATAACGGACAAGTTTTGAAATCTACTGTTTGAGAACACGCATGCGAAAAAAACAAAAACAAAAAACCCCCCAATCAATTTCCATGAGCAGTAAGTGCGGCATTCATTACGTGTGACAAGTCAACAAAATTAAATATGGCCGCCGTATCCATGGAAACGAAACTTTTTTCTCAAATTTGATTGCAGATTTTAAAACTCCCCACTATGCTTGTTTTATGTGTGAAATTGTGTAAAATTCAGTCTAATGATAAGCGAGTTAGCCTTCAGGTGCAGCCACCCCCCCCCCCTCCTTAAGAGGCGGTACCTCTGAGTTTAGTGCCCAGCTCCAATTAAATGGACCGAGCCAAGTGGGAAATTCGGGTAAAGTGCCTTTCACAGGGACACAATGTGGGGCCCAGCTCAGTCTCGAACTCCCAAACTCGTAATCTCACAATTACGAGTCCAGTAACCTAACCACTTGGCTACCGACTCCACTGGTCTGCTCAGGGAGAACTACTTAACAATGACTTTTAAAAACAAACGTACAGTTTTGAACATTAGAGTCAAATCAATTCAGATCAAGTAGTCTTGTGCCAAGATAGTAGTCTTTGCCCCATCTATGAAGGACCATCTGGCTGGCTCCGAATCAATCCGACGAATCTGTTTGACACTGGGTAGAAAACAGACAATTCAAGAACTAGAAGGGCTTGTATTCAGTGCACAGTGCCATTTGAATTCAGTCGAACTGAGTCGGCGCCAGATAGATGTTCTTTCTTTGAGGAGCAAAAGCTGCCACTTTGGCACAATTTGATTAAATCCTCCAAACACGAAGTTGTTTGATTTCGAAAGATTTGATCAACTTTTTAAAGATTATTTTTAAAACAAATTTTTTAACCTCTCCATCGACAGAATATGAATCATGCAAAAAGCAGGTTTCTGACTCTGGAAGTGAGTATGAACTCGGGTTGAGAGAGATATTATATTCCATCAGAAAGACCGAGATTCTCGTGGAACATTAATTACTCCCCATTCGCCAGACGAGCCAAGGCCTCCTGTCTGTGACAGCAAAACGCCAAACTGCTACACCACAGGCGCCGGAGACCAGATTGTGCGCTAGGTGTTTAATTTAATTATTCTTACGTCAACGAGCTCTGTGCAATGTCCTGAGACGTAGAAGAGCAAGCTCTCCGCCTTTGGCCCAACAACGGCGCCAGCGTCTCTGATGACGGTGAAACTGAAGTCTGGATCTACGAACTTCCTCAAGGTAGTCTCCGTGGCGTTGCGGAATGTGTCCAGCACCTGGGGAAAGTAGGCTTTTTAAAAATAAATAAAAGTGGAATCTTGGTTAAATCAGGCTCTCGTCAAACTAATGGAATTGAAGAAGCCAACATTTTTCCGGCTGTTGTGCAATTTCTATCGACTTTTGTTTTTACCTAAACATCTTTTATGTCCATTTAGAATTTAAAGACATTTCTGTGTGGATTTTACAGAAGAACGATGATCAAAGGCACAACAAATGTACAGTTTCCAAGGACCCTAAAGCTTTGGAAATCACCAAAATATTTGTGGCCATTTTCTCGCTAATCATTTCTCTGGCACTAGGCGACCCCCATCCCCTTCAATAGTAAAATTATATTTAATATGGATGGATATTATCCTCATCAAAAGCAAGACAATGTACACACTTTAAAATTATATCAATAACTCTATATGTCGAAACAATTATGAGCGCCTGTTTTCACCGGGTTGTGACTTAAGTTTTAGTCTTTTTGTTAGTTTGTTAGTGCTTCAGCGCGTGCAATCCGCAGCTTACACACGTTTTACTTCTCAGGAAGCCAGGAATCTTTTCGAGTGTTCTATGGTTTTCTGGGGCGGGGGTATTGATGGTTGTAAAACGCATAGAGAAGGCTGTAGAGAATGGGTATGCGCAATATAAATGCAACAATTATACTACTACTACTACTACTACTACTACTACTACTACTACTACTACTACTACTATTAAAAATAATAATAATAATCTCTACATATTATATTTGTGAAAGTCCGTCACTTTGGCTTCATAAAACTTCCGAACCACTTAACTTTCGAATTTGACAAAATAAAAGGTGGTTCTGAATCATTTAAAGGGTGCACTTTTTTTTTAGAAGTCTGGTGTCACTGTAGTTTGATTTTCAGTTTTTCATTTGATTCGTTTAGATCTATACTTAGGACTTCTAAAACGCCATTGTAAACAAATGAGATTTTCGTTCACTAGCCGTGCGCGCTGTTGTAGAGTATAGATCTAGAACTTTTGTTGTTGTTGCATTCCTCAAGATTTACTGCTCCATTCAAACTCACTACATGGACAAAAACTTGGTGTGTAACCGTAAACAAAGAAAAATCTTCTGCTACACTCTACACTCTCAGCCAAGCTGAGCCAAAACACCTCACATTAGAGAAAACCCCCCTAAAGTTTGAGAATCAACAGACGTATCTTTGAATAATCTTTGACAAGCGTCTCACATGGAAACAGCCCATTCAAAATGCAGAAAATAAAGCCAGGAAGAAACTTAACATCATGAGAAAACTAGCAGGGACTCAGTGGGGATACATTGTACAAACTACAGGGCAGAGACGGAGGCTCAAATACATGCAGCAAACATCATCAAGAATGTGGTAGACCCCCAAAGCCAAGTAGTATTCCTAACAGATGCCATGTCAGTACTGCAGGCAATCACTTCTGACAAACTACCAAGGCTACGAAAAGTAATTGGGGACATCCCATGTCTGAGGATTATGCTGCAGTGGATTCCATCACACAGTGGTGTCTTAGGAAATGAGCAGGCAGACAGGATGGCCAAACTAGGAGCAGAGAAAGAGCAACAAAACAACAGCGTTAACTACACAGAAATAAAAACTATTATAGATACACTATTTAAAGCACCTCAGACACCAGATGGCTACCATGAGCTGTCCCGCCAAAAACAAGTGATTATCTTCAGACTAAAGACACAACACACAAGACTGAGATAACACATTGTGTACAAATGTTTTAAAATAGTACAACTACCAAAATGCCAGTGTGGAGAGGCAGACCAAGCTGTTAAACACATCCTTCAGCACTGCAAGACACACAGGGCCCTGAGATAGGAAACGTGGCCAACAGATGAACTGAGCAGGACGGCCCAATTTATGACAGATACCAGACTTCAAGTGTGATGCGATCGAGAAGAAGAAGAAGAAGACTGCTCCATTCCAGTACTAGAGGGTAAATATAGTAAGCCAATGACTTTCAGTTTATGTTAATGCACCGATCAGGGGGCCCAGCTAGTAATAATAATATTACTATTATTATTATCATCATCATAATAACAACATTATTATTATTATTATCATTATTAT